AGCAGTCAAATGCCTTAGGCACTATGCCACCAGAGCTCCTTTTTATACATTTTCTCATTAAAATTATTTAAAAGGCTATTAAAATAATGAGAAACCTAAATTTGTGAAAATTCAGATATGTGTAACCAACCATATGTTTAAAGACAAGATAGAATATATGAGGCATGGGTTAGAAGCAAATACCAAAATGTTTTCTCTTCACTTTAGGTGAGGAAAATCAGTGAAATACAACTTGAAAAGATGGTCTCACTTTCACAAAGCCCCACTAAGAGTGGCAGTGGCTGATAGGAAAGCAATTTTTAAGGAACAAATCTTGAACTTAAATGTACATTGTGACCATGTACCAGGGTGTGGAGTGCCTACTACTTCAACAAAAAGGCTTAATGCAGAAGTACACCAACCACAGTGGTGCTTTGATAGATTCCTAATGAAGGCATTCATGCATAGCAAATGCCAGATTATTTGGGCATCACAAAGATATTAGTTAAAGAATTTTTCTGTTCATTTTTGCACTGAAATATTTTTATATGTGTTGAACTTAAAATGCATAGAAAGCATTTTAGTTTCTCTAAGAATTTATTCCTTCAAATTTTAATTTGGCGTAGAAAGAAATTGCAAACATATCCCCTTGTCCCCAGGTTCCCTTTTACTTGGTTATGTTAAAAAGCTAGCTGCAAAGAAAAGAAAAAGAATGGAGAATGAGAGAGAGGGAAAGGGGAGAAGAGTGGAAGAGAAGTGAGAGAAGAAAAGGAGAGAAGAGGAGGGAGGGAGGGATGAAGGGATGAAGTTGACTAGTTCTTTTGCTCATTTGATCTCTGGTGCAGAAAGGTTGCTGTAAAACTATCTCTGGGATTATCTCCTTATGAAACATTTAAAAATGGCAAAATTAACATAAAATAACACACATATCAATACATCTCTTCAGCTGAACCTGAACAACTTTAAGAGAGATTCATGGAATTTTAAAGCCATTTGCCCCTATGCTCGATTATGTATGTAGAAAATCCATTCTAAGAGGATATGTCCATAGATCATTGCATGGGCTCAAAACACCAACTAAAAGGAACAACAGCAACAGACCTAAAAGAATTCAGTAGTGTTAAAATAAGGCCATTCCTGAGGAATCATAGATGATAGTCCCTCCATGAAACAGATAGCCATTAAAAAAGAGGAAAATCTTCAGAGAAAATCAGATGAATATTATGAATAAGACTTGATAGGTTATTGTTGTTGTTGTTGTTGTGGGCTGTTGAGTCAGCCCCAACTCATAGCGACCCCTCCTTGGGTTTCTGAGGCAGTATCACTGCAGAAGTAGATTGTCCAACCTTCCTTCTGAAGAGTGGCTAGTGGGTTTGAACTGCCAGCCTTCTGGTTAGCAGTCAAGTGCCTTAGGCACTATGCTGCCAGAGCTCCTGATAGGTTATTAGATATGTATAAATGAGACATTTGGAGATCCAAAAGCATTGCTTTTAAATTAAAAAAAATAATGATTTTGATTTACATGTAATGTGGGCTATAAGCCATGGAATAGCTATAAAAAAAAAAATCTTATAGAAAAAAAGTATTACACTGTTATCATATTTCTCTTCAGCAAAGAAATGCCAGAAGGTATTATAATAACAGCCATAGTTTTGCAAAACAAAAACATTGGGGGCATGCATACAGCTAAGCTATTACTCAGATAGTAAAGTAATAGGATGGCTTTCGGACAATGTGGGATTAAGAAAATATACAATAATGGATGTTACTGAGGAGCCCTGGCGGTATAGTGGTTAAATCCTTAGCTGCTAACCGGTAGTTTGAACCAGCCAGATGCTCCGCAGGAGAAGGTTATGAAGAAATCTGCTTCTGTAAAGATTACAGCCTTGAAAACCATATGGGGCAGTTCTGCTCTGCCCTACAGGGTTGCTATGAGGTGAAGTTGACTCCAAGGCAGTGGATATGTTGCTGTTAGTTGTCGCTGAGTTGACTTAGGCTCATAGTGACCCCATGGGACAGAGTAGAACTATACCATAAGATTTTCTGGGCTGTAATCTTTATGGGAGCAAATCACCAATCAGGTCTTTTTCCCATGGGGCTTCTGGGTAAGTTCTTACTGTCAACCTTTGGTTGGTAACTGAGCACTTAACTGTTGCACCACCAGAGATCCTTGCAGTAATATATAGACTGCATATATTTTCTGAGAAGAAAAAGAGTCAAGGAAGTAATCTAATCAATAATTTAATTTAAAAATCTAAAATCTAAAGATATGATAGCAAAGAAATGGTGATAAGCAAGATTTGTAAAATGAGTAAATTCTAGGTATCTGTTGTCACTATGTTTATGATGCAAATGTTAAAAATATCCAATAATAATTATATTATCCCAAATCTAAAATCACAATTTGATCAAATACTTGAACTAAGAGTGAGATAAAAGAAGAAAAAATATGACAGAGTTCTTATTTTAGACAAGAAGAATTTAATGCTGATTTATTGAAAATGATAGGTGAGTTCAAAATTTTTCAGCTGAAGATAAGTTAAACTGAATCAAGTTTTAATAACTTGAATATATAGCTTTCAAATTATAAAACCAATAATTGTAGAATAAAAGTGGTATATAATAAAAGGTAAGCAAAAATGGCCAAAATTAGAAATCATATACATATCAATTCTTACAAGAAATATGAATGGATTAAAATCTTCATGTCTGAAGGTTTTTAAAAGTCTTTGAAGTGGTGCCAAAGAAGAATGTGCCGACATATGCTCTTTGTAAAAGAAACAGCTAAAAATAAAAAAAAAATAGCAGTTAAAAATCAAATAAATGTTCAAAGAAAAACCAAGTGAAACTCAAAAAATAATAATACTTAGCTGAGAAAATTTATCAAGGAAAGCAAAAACTTAGAATGAAAGTTATTAAATATAAATAAGAAGATTGATATACCCAACAATCATTTGTGTATGACAGATCCTTGTATCAAAAGGAAAATTTGATGGAAATAGTAGAAGTAATCATTAGAATTACAATTGTAGAAATTTTGAGATATGAATATTCAAAAAACTAATAAGGACATAAATCCATTGTGTTCAGTCGATTTGACTCATGGCAACCCCATATGTTACAGCGCAGAACTGCTCTGAAAGTATTTGTTGGCTATCATCTTTCTGGAAACAGTTTGCCAGGATTTGCTTCTGGTAGTTCATTAGGTGGGCTTGAAACACCAACCTTCAGTTCAGTGCATTCAGAGATCATAATAAAGGCATATATATTTTAATAATTGATAAATTTATATATAACAATTTTAAACACATATTCTTTTAAAATATATCTTACACATTTATAGTGGATTTCTCCTTCCGCAGAAGACTGTACATGTGGCACTTTACAATAGAAAACAGCATATAAATTATAAGACCAAGTCATTCTAATTCATATCGGTTACTTCATTTCTAGGTGTGCAGCAAAGGTGAATGTGTCAATATCAAAACGACCTACAATTCAACCAATTGCTACTTTCAGTGCAAAGAAAATACTGTAAGATTTAATAGCTTTTTAAAAGTAATGCCTTACCAATAATTTATTCACATAAGACTCCATTTCTGAGCCTGAGTGTATATATAACTGTATTTGTGTATTTATATACTTATTTTTAATAAAATATACAAGAGATCCATTTTTTTCCCAGATGCCACAATTAAAATTGATCCAGATAGCCAAATCAAGTATTACACATAAATATTGCCAGTACTGTAAATATGTTTTGTGATAAAATTGTACTGTAATCTAGAAACTCAGCAACTTATGTACTTATGTATGAGGTTTTAACATAAATGTTGGTTCTATCAGAAATCACTTACAGGTAAATTACAGTAATGTCAACCTCAGCCTAAAGTTCTTGCAGTTACTAGTAATTTGTGTTTATGGATATTATTTTTCCTAAACTTGATTAATCTGTAACACTTATGTGGAGTTGTGAATGTATCAAGCACTCTTTCAGGTGATATACTTATTAAATTTTAAAATCTCCATAACAACCTTAAGAGGTGAGCACTATTTCCACTCCTGCTATAACAGATGAAGAAACACAGGCACACTGGTGTTGTGCAATTTGTGAATGAAGCTGGAATTTAAATCCAGAAAGTGCAGCTCCAGGGTCTGCACACTTAGTTATTATGCAATGCTGCTCTTTGATGAACTAAACTGTGTGCCACCACCATTTTCCCATGCTGATATCCCATTATCATAAGCCTAGTTAACGTCTGTTCCCTGCTTATGATATGTCCAACTCTAGCAAGGGCCATTTATTTAAGGCTATTGATGTTTTCTGGATAAATTATGTTGGGTTGTTAATCTGTCTTTGAATTGATCGGAATCATTCATTTTCCTAAAGGACTTCTACAAAGATGATTGTTTCTTGCGTTTTGTTTGCTTATTTTTGTACCACAGTGATTTTTGCATTCAGTTCATTAATTAAGCAATAAAAAGTGTGTGTGTATGGGAGTGTGTATATTTGTTTGATGTAGAATTAGCACTAAGATAAGCGAGATGCAAGATGCAGATCAATGTCAGTCATTTGATAAAATTATATGATTGATTGCTCTTCCAGGTAGATGGCCATGAGGCTGCTTGCCTCTGTGAAGAACAGGAATCTCTAGACTGGGAAGAAACGTTAAATGTTACCAGTGAGTATACTAGGGTATTAATAATGGTGTGTGTGTGTGTGTGTGTGTGTGTGTGAAGATCCTTGCAAGAAATTTCTTATTTTCCAAGTTTGTTAAATCTTTGCTGGTGTGTATATTTGTATGATCTTTTTATTACTTTACATATTTTGATGCCCAAATTAAAAATTACTACAGTTAGGTTTTAGAATCAGTGTATTTTCTTTCGGCTTGTTGTTGTTATGTGCCGTCCAGTTGGCCGCAACTCATACACACCCCTCCTTGGATTTCTGAGGTGGTCTCTCTATGGAAGTAAATTGCCCAACCTTCCTTCTGAGGAGTGGCTAGTGGGTTTGAACCGCCAGCCTTCTGGTTAGCAGTCAAGTGCCTTAAGCACTATGCTACCAGAGCTCCTTTGGCTTAATCCTTAAAAAAAAAAGAAAAAAAAAAACTCAACAAGGCCTTTTCTGTATTCACAGGATAACTGACAATCAAAACTTATCAAACTGATTGTAAGTTCCTTAAACGTAGTAGAATCCTGAGTGGAATGTCAATTGCTAAAGTAATTTACATAATGCTTTGGCTTTGGCTTCAATTTTGGGGGAAACAAAGTCCTTGAGGAAAGGAGAAGCAAGATTATAATAATTTAGTTAAAGATGGATCCTGTTAATATTTCACTGTCCTAAACTTGACATCCTAATTGAAGCCCATACTTTTAAATGTTGTAGATATTGCCATCTTGGTTGTGGTGCTTGTGCTGGTTGTTACTGGTGTCGGAATTGTCACATTATTAATTCGTCATCAAAAATGTACTAAGTTGAAGCAAATTCACAGGTAAATCTGCATTTTCTATGTATTGAAGAGAAGCATTACTGAAAACCTATAAGCTTAGGGCCATGAAAGTTACTTGATGTAGGAAAAATACAAGCCTTTAGTCAAGACCAAATAAAGATTGTAGTGTATCAAGCTTTTACATATTTTGTCTCATTCAAATGCCTATCCCAGTTGTTTCCAAACTTTTCTTAGAATCATTTTATTGCTGTTCATGTTAGGTGCCATCAAATCATTTCTGACTCATAGTTATCCTATAAACAGCAGAATGAAACCCTGTTCAGTCCTGTGCCATCTTCACAATTGTTGCCATGTTTGAGTCCATTGTTGCAGCCACTGTGTCAATCCATCTCATTAAGAATGTTACACTTTTTTTGCTCATCCTTTACTTTACCAAGTGTGATATCCTTCTCCAGAAACTGATCCATACTGATAACATGAGCAAAGTATTAGAGTCAAAGTCTGGCCATTCTCACTTCTAAGGAGTCTTTTCTGTACTTCTTCCAAGACAGAGTTCTTCATTCTTCTGGCAATCTATGGTATATTCAATATTCTTTACCAACACCATAATTCAAATGCATCAATTCTTCTGCAGTCTTCCTTATTCATTGACCATCTTTCACATGTATATGAGGCTACTAAAAACACAATGTCATGGGTCAGGTACATTTGGGCACCTTCAAAAAATACAGAAGCTACCTCCCATTCTCAGACATTGTGATTTAATTTTTATAAGCTGTAACCTAGGCATCATTATTTTAAAATAGTTCTTGATTACTTAATATTGTTAACCCCTGGTTTGTCCCATAGCTCATGTCAACATTTAATTTCCTTCTTGACAGCCCACCTGCAGAACTGGGAGTAGAGAATAAGGGATACTTTGGTGATGAAACACAAGCAAGGAATGAGCCAGTCTTACCAGATATTCATCCACTACAAGTAAGAAACTTTCATTTATAGTAGTAAATTAATCAAAAAGAAGTAATTGGGTATATATTTAATGAGCCCTGGTAGCATAGTGCCTAAGGAACTTGACTGTTAACCAGAGGGTGGTAGTTCAAACCCACCAGCCACTCCTTGGAAGGAAGATTGGGCAATCTACTTCTTGCCTTGGAAATCCAAGGAGGGGTCGCTATGAGTTGAATTGACTAGATAGCAGTGAGGTGTTTTTTTTTTTTTTTTTGGTGGAGGCGGTTAACATTAAGCCAAGTGAAGGGAAAGATGTAGAATTCAGCATGGTTACACATAATAAAGGTTTTTAATCTAAATGTGAGGAATGGGAGGAGGATGGGACCAAAACATAAAACATGAAGCAAGACACTATTTAATAGTAGGTGATACTGTTTAAGTATTATAGTAATTTGTACTTTATTTGAACATTTTATGAAGATAGACCATGTTCTGGGCCAAAAAACAAGTAAATGAATGTAAAATAATTCAAGTCATATAAAATACCTTCTCTGGCTATAATGAAATTTATTAGAAATCAATGATAAGGCGATATGGGGAAAATCTCCAATTGTGAATTGGGTAACAAATTCCAAAGAACCCATAGATTAAAGGAAAAAAAAAGATAAATTAGAAAATATTTTGAACTGAATGAAGATAAAATGCAACATCTTTGTGCGATGCAGCTAAATCAGTAACTAGAGGAAATTTTGTAGCACTAAATGCTTATGTTAGAAAAGAAAAAAAATCATTGACCTTGCCTCTCACTTAAAGAAACCGGAAGTAGAAAAGAAAAGAAAACCCAATGGATTGGATGATAAGAAAAACAAATACCAGATTGATAACAAATAAAATAGAAAACAAACAATAGACAAAACCAATTAAAACAAAAGCCGACTTTTTTTTTTTTTTTTTTGAGATGAGCAACAAAATTTATAAACCTCTTTACCAATTTCTCAAAGAGCCCTGGTGGCATTACATAGTAGGGTAAGGCATTTGACTGCTAACCAGAAAGGTAGTGGTTTAAACCCACCAGCTGCTTCATGGGAGGAAGAAGAAGCAATCAATTTTCATAAAGATTTACAACCTTGACAACCCAATGGGGGCTGTTATGAGTCACAATGGATTCAATGCAGTAGGTTTGGTTTTGGGTTTATACCGATTGCTCAGAAATAGTAAGAATTATACAGATTATTAATATCAGAAGCCAGAAAGGTACCATCACTAGAGATTCTACAAGTGTTAAATTGATTATTAGAGAATATTTTTAAAAACATATTTGAATAAATTTGACAGTGTACATAGAATGGAACTATTTTTGAAAGATACAAATTAGTCATGAAGATATAGGTAGTCTGAATATCCCTACATCTATTAAATACATTGCATTTCTAGAAAAAATCCTTTCCACAATCTAGGTCCACATGTCTTCACTGGTGAATGTTGCCAAACATCTGAAGAAATAATAACAATTTTGTGTAAACTCTTACAGAAAATGGGAGAGAAAGGAGAGTTCCCAACTTATTTTATAAGGCCAGTACTTCTCTGATACCAACTTAGACAAAATTATTACAAGAAAGGAAAACTTCCGACCAATACTTCTAGTGACCATAGGTGCATAAATTATTAATTTTTAGCCAGTTGAATCCAGCAACATAAAAGGATAATGCTTCCTGGACAAGTGGAGTTTATCTCAGGAATGCAAGATAAATTTAATATTTAAAAATCAATCAAATCAATTCATCATATTATCAGACTGAAAGATTAAAATCATACAAACATCTCAATAGATACAGGAAATATACATATATTTTTTTTAAAATCTAGTATCTATTTCTGATAAACTCAGTAAAGTAGCAATATGATTAGGATTTTTTGATGGGTTGTAATGTTCTGGTTATATACTTTCAGAGGTCTTGAATGCTATGCTACTACTCTATAGGTCTCATAAGTTCTGTGTTTTTTACTGAACTATATTGTTGACCATGTCCCCACCCCAACTCCTGCAGGTATACATATATAACTTGATAGCAGCAATATCTCTACTGAATTGCACTGGGGTGATCAGGGATATGTAGCTGATGAATCTTTTCCCTATTTATATGGTTGTCTATTATATTTTTTATGTATTTGTACTCTTATTATGACAATAACAATCCCCGGATAGTAAAAACACTTGTTCACTCAATGCACACAAAATACGTTATGGAAAATTATTTAAGCTTTTACTGAGATTTTCTAGTATGAAATCACATGATGCAATTATCAACCTTGTGTACTTACTCTGAAGTTTAAATGAAAATATGTATGTAAATGTACTTAGCACAGAGTTTGGTAGATAGTTAGCACTTAATGTATGTTAATTATCTGCTATGTCTTTTGTGCCATTGCAGTTTCTTCCTTAATTCTGTTTTATTTAAATTAATATGTAAAGTAGGTGCACTCTCAGAGAAAGGAGTCAGGTGAAGGTGGCCTGAGCATGGGATCAATGAAGAGCAGTCACAGAAGCTAACCATAGTTTTACATAGAGCCTGGAGCAAATATGTTACAGATATGCTCCTTTAAAGGCTTTTGTGCCTGGTGGCATAGTGCCCAAGGCATTTGACTGCTAACCAGAAGGCTGGTGGGTTTGAACAACTACTTTCCATAGGGATACCGCCTTGGAAACCCAAAGGGGGTCATTATGAGTGGGGATCAACTCGACAGCAGTGAGTTTTTTTTTTTTTTTTTCTTTTCGTACCTGGGTGGCAAAGTGGGTTAAGTGCTCAACTAATAGTCTAAAAGTTGGTCAGTCAATCAAACCCACTCAGAGGTGCCTCAAATGACAGTCTTAGCAATCTTCTTACAAAAGATGGCAACTTGACAATCCTAAGCGCAGTTCACCTCAGTACACATGGGTTGCTATGAATTGGAATCAACTCAAAGCAGTAATAACAAGGGCTTTTGTCTTTTTGGTCTGATGAAATATCTCTCGGACCTAGAAAAGGGGTTTAGTAAATATGTGTTCAATATACAAATAAGTTCAATTCACTACTAATGGTGCATACACCCTGATAAGCTATAAACATAGATTATTTATTACCGGAGAGTTTTGGGCTCTTAAAGCTCATGTTTAAGTCTTTTGTATTATTTTTCATGAAATTCTATAATTAATAAAGATTTATCTAGCGCTTATTTGACACTTTAGATACTCATACAAAGCCAGTCCTCAACAAAGTTGTGGTTTAGGGAAGATCTGCTCTGTTGTCCTCTCCCTGTTTCATTAATGATGTCTTTTGCATCTGGCAGGTCTTATTTCCACTACATCTGGCCTTAGTTGTATAAATACCTGTTGTGGAATTAACCGAGTCCCTGGGTGGTGCAAACAGTTAACACAGTTGCTAACAAAAATTACAGGTTCAACTTCACCCAGAGGCACCTCACAAGAAACGCCTATTGATCTACTTACAAAAAAATCAGTCACTGAAAACCCTATGGAGTACAGCTCTACTCTGACACACATGGGATCACCATAAGTCAGTAGACTTGACAGAAACTAGTTATTGGTGTGGAGTAAACAGAAAGTACTTTAACGTATCACCTCAGCCAGGCAAAAAAACAAACCAAATTCACTGCCATTGAGTCAGATCTGACTTATAGCGACCCCTCCTTGGTTTTCCAAGGTTTTACTACAGATGTGGATTGCCCAGTCTTCCTTCCAAGGAGTGGCTGATGGGCTTGAACTGCCAGCCTTCTGGTTAGCAGTCAAATGCCTTAGGCACTACGCCACCAAAGCTCCTCAGGCTTCCGCATTTTAATAGGAAGTTTTAGAGGTTCTCAAAAACCTGTAACATCCAAAGGAATATAGCTGGTTTTGGAATTTCAGGCTTTAAAACAATTAGACATATTAAGATTTGGAGTCTGAAAGATCTGCCTTTTTTTACTCATATCACAATATATAACGGGGCTCCCTCTCTTCTCATATATGTACTCACTTTATAGGTAGGTTCTTACACACATTTTTCAGAAGAAAACCTAGAGAACATTATTGTTTCCATGTGTTTTATTTAGCATTTGTATCTTTCCTAGGAATATATTATTATATTACATTAATTATAATGTATATTATACCCGGAAATTTTACCTTATGGGTTTGGGAAATATTTATATGTGCTCGAATACTAACTGCAGGTTAACAAATAGTATTTCTTTTCACTAGCAGAGACATGCAGAGTCCTTTGAGAGACTCCCATCTGGTTTTTCAAGTCCTCACTACATCACACTGGTATGCTCCCTATGTACTTGCTGTAAGCTATATAGTATTCTGTGTCCATTTCAACAATAACTCCAGTACCATTTAGCCTTTTGTTGGTTCCATGAAGAATAATGTAACATATCTCTCTGATTGGAGGCATAGATTTTGATTACTGGAGTATAGACAGACCCACTTCTCAGTCAGGCTGGGATTAGGGTGTAGAGACTGAGGATCAAAGGCTGATTTTATTTAAAATGTTGTTATTGTTCATTATAAATTCTTGAGGATTAATTTTGATTTTTAAAATACACTAACATTATTTATCTTGATTACTGAGTTTTGATGCTCCTTCCCTCCCTAAAATTTGCTCCTGAGGTAAGAGCCTCTTTTCCTCACTCTAGTCCTAGCCCTGTTTCTCAAGAGTAAAACACAGTGATGCTATGGATTTTGCTGACACAAAGAATGTCCCCTATCTGTTGTTGGAGAGATCCCAGGAATTTGGCATCTCTCATGTATTGCTTGTATGTGCAGCTGACAACTTGTGGAAAAACTGTCTAGAAATTTTGGGTCACTTCATGACAAATAGA